TGCAAACAATTATTTCTAAAGGTATTCTACCAAATCACCATTCCATTGTTTTCCTTTCCATCCCCACTCCGATGCAGATTTTCCCAAAAAAAAAAAAAAAAATTTTAAACCAATTCAAATTTGTAATTTTTTCTGTGACATTTGCTGTGAAATTTGTTTAACTTTGATTCATCTACTATGAAAACGTTTTTGTTGTTAAATGTTACTTTATTTTTTGTAAACTTTGTCAGAAATTATTGTTATAGTTTGCAGTACTTGACTGGTTTTTACCCAAACAGGTAAGTTTTAATTTTAGCAATATTTGTGCATGTGTTCATTCAATTGGTGAGTTGGTTTTCAGAAACCTGTTCATATTGAAACATCCAAAACTATTTTTTTAAACAAAAATTAATAGCAATTTTGAGACAATATTTGACAGAAAGCATAGATATTTTGAAATACATTTGATCGTATTTTGAGAAAATTTTCACTTAAAGTATTTACAGTATTTATATGTGTGCTTTCATTGAGTTGGTGAGTTGATCTTTCGGATTCTGGACTTATTGAAGCATTCAAAGCTATTATAATTTTTTTTCTCAAAAAACCAAAAATTGATAGCATTCTGGCAGAAAATATTATATAATTAAATTGTTAAGTTCTGTTAAATGTTACCCAGCATAGGGATTGAACTTACATCCTTCTGGTTATAAAAACTAATGCTTTGTTGGATTAACCTGTCTTCCCTGCTGGTTCAGATGTGTTCTGCCCAAGTAACTCAGTTTAAGCTAGTTGTTTTTCTCAAGTGAGAGAACACTCAGTTACCTCGTGAATTCTTGTCAGTAATTCAGGAGTTAACAGACTTTCTGTTGCCTGGATAATATCCCTAAGATAATTTAACACATGTTATATTTTTATCTTAAAATATTATAAGTTTAAAAGATATTATTTTCAGAAAATAGATTGAATTTTGAAAAATTCATTTGGTGAATCGATACTTAGAATCCTGTTCATATTGCAATCTTCAAAACTTGCAAATATTTTTTCTTGAAAAAATAAAAAAATTAATAGCCATCTTGAGACAATCTGGCAGAAAATATATTACATTTTTGAGAAAAATATATTAAATTTTAAAATATATTTATATTTGTAAATATCCTAAATTATAAATTTTGAAAGATCTTATTTTGAGAAAATAGGTTAAATTTTTAAAAAATTTAGTCTAGCAGGATTTATGTGTACATTCATTCAGTTGGTGAATTGATCTTTTGGATCCTGGTTATACTTGCCAGGAACCAAAGCTTTTTTTAAACGAATTATTTGCAAACCAAAAATTAGTAACCATCCTGAGACAATGTCTAAGACAGGGGTCAGCAACAAGTCTCACCAACTTAACCATAACTCAACATACCATACTCTTTTTTTTTTTTTCTTTCCTTTCCAGAAGTCTTTTTTGTCTGAACAAAAACAAGCCCTTAGAAACTAAGAAAACAAAAGTGGATTTTGATTGCTGGATTTTTAATGAAGGCCAGACACATGGCTAGTTTTTCATTGAGCACTTCAGAAAATGTGTTTGCTTAACTTGTCAAGAAACCATTGCTGTGAAGAAAGTTTCTCCAGACCAAGGCAGCCTTCTGGATGAAGAGGTCTGAGGTCAGGACAATTTATTAAAGTACATTTATTATCATGGTCCTCCTTTGAGACACTGCATAGCTCTCCAAAAGGTTGATGACCCTGGTCTAGCAGAAAATAATTTCCTGATTGTATAAATATTTATAATCAAAACAACAAAAAGAGAATAAAAACATTACTCTAAATTAGGTTATGTAGATTTTTTCATTAACTAGAACAATGTTTTATAACTTTTTTAACTTGGATTTTGTTCAGTCATAAATATTGAACAATGGTATCTTAGTTTAATAATTAGAATTTGTATTATTCAGTACTTAGCAGTATAAAATTGGGTTTCTATGAATTTTCTTCTATGTGCCATGTCTCTTCAGGATGTTCTCCACAATTTCCTAACTTTTGTAGCTTGTGTCTTTTTTTTTTTCTCTCTTAAACTTTATTTTGCTATCCATTTACTCAAGCTTTCTTGGTACGTTATACATTGTTTTCCTCTGTTTCTTTTGCCTTCAATCTATCCTGTGAGTATCAAATTTTCCAAACCCTCTTTCCTCATTATGTGCCCTAGAAATTTCAATTGTATCTTCCTGATGTTAAGTATACGTGTACAGTTACAATTTAGCATTTATTTTTGTTTTAGTTATTTACTAGCAATACCCATGAAAATTTCATGGTTATCATATTTGAATATTCTGATTAATCTTAATTTTGAAGGTAATGATTGAATGAGTTACTAATGAGATCCACAATTATAAATTACTCATAGAAATTCTCCTATTGCATAGTTAAATATTTGAACTTAAGAACTTTAACAAAATATTGCAATAAGCATCATAAATACAACTCTATTTGCAGTGATACTTTTATTGTGAAAATAATGTTAAGACATGAGCTGAAGCTATAAATCAACTAATTAAAAATTTTTATTACCTAAGTTGGCATTTGAAGTGTGATTTTGTAACTGACCTCTGGCAGTCACCATCTTCGTCCATATTCTCTCAGTAATGGTTGCATTCATTCTTCATCCCCCACCACTGTCAACAATGCCTTTCTTTGTGATTGTCAATGCATTCATCAGCAAATGCATTTACTGAATTTCCCAGCTTACAAGACACTTTTTTCCCAAAAAAATACCCTGAAAAATGAGTGTGCGTCTTCCATGACGAATGTAAGGCAACACCCAGACTCAAGTAAGCTTGGACGGTCACCTAATTGACTTGACTGATATCTGGATTTGTATGTTGAGTTATTACACTATAATGTTAGGTATCTAATTCAGCCTTTTATATGATGTAACCTCAGTACTTAGCTGTTACAAGTATTTCCAAGACTATAACCCTTCCTGGAGCCGAGCCAGAAGCTTAAATATGCTTTCTGTTTACAAGCAGCGGCAGGAGCCTTTCTGCTCTTGATTAGTATGTCAATGCCATACAAACAAAATTGGATGAGTGATTAATATAAACAATACATGATGCCAGTATGTGAGGAACGCATGGTGAATGTGTTGTTGTATGAGAATTCATTTTTCTTTTCTTAGAAATTTCTTTCCAATATTAGGATGCGTCTTCCAAGCTGGAAAATACAGTACTTCATCCATGGAATTTTATCAGTAATATTTGCATTAATTCTTGACTTCCCTTTCTTTCCAATATTCAAGGCATTCCTATAATAAAATCTTTAGTGATACATTTACATTTATACTTATAATAGCCCTATTCTGTCGGTAACACTATTTCCTGACCACTGAAAATCCCTTCAATGCATTCCTGTAGTAAAATCATTAGCATTGACTTGCCAACCATAAGATAACTTTATTATGTTGCTGACTATGAGTAAAATGTGCCAACAACTAGTTTATTTGAAGTGATACTTTTAGTGTGAAAATAATGTTCAGCCATCATCAATTGAAGCTATAAATCGACTAATTAAAAATTTTTATTACTTAAGTTGGCTATTATAAAGTTTTTGTTTGAAGTTGAATTTTGTAATTGACCTCTGGCAGTCAATATGTTAAATACATGAGTGTTATTGCCACATGTTTTCTTTGTTTTTTCTCACTGAAACCTGACATCTTCTCTGATGTCTTCCCTGCCATTCCTCATGATCAAAATGGAATAGTCAATTATTTATGAGGTATTAGCAGGGTATAACATATTAAGGAAGGAAGAGAAAAGCAGAATTATAAGGAAATGCTAACTTAGCAGATATTATTTGAACACAATTTTTTTTTTTTTTTTACATAATGTTCACCCTGTACCAGCCCCAAGAGCCACTTAAGGTAGAGGGTTACAGAGTAAGAGGCAGAGTTTATTGGAATATGTGGGGAAGATAATTGTTAAGTGTCAACTTAAACATGTTAAGATTGTAGTGATCCAGGAAGCATCCTCTTGGAAATCATCACTTCCACAAAGCAGTGTTTTAATTTTTTTTTTTTTAGAATAAAACTGTGTGTTAATATTTAAAATATGCTTCAAGCTTCTTTATTGTATCACTATCTAAGCAAAAAAGTATTTATATATTGCTATTTATTTTAGGGTGACAGACATAAATGAGACTCCCCACCCACCCTTACTTAGAGCTGGAGTGAAAAATCACTACCTCTCACCAATGAAAATGATGTGAACTAATTTTAGTGGGCAAATTCTTAATTGCAACGACTTATGGAAAGCCTCCTCCCCAAACTATAAACACTGGTGACAAGCCTGCAGATAAAGTAGTTTGACTTGTCCTAACCTGATTTCATATGGATAAAATAGGTTTAATGAGGGAGGGAGTGTGTGTCTCTCTCTCTCTCTCTCTCTCTCTATATATATATATATATATATATATATATATATAGTGTCTTCCACAGACAGACTGTTTCACTGCATCACAGCTCCTCAGTGTGGCTAGACATCTGATTGCTTCAAGCCGGGATTGAAACCCGACTGATTTGACATCAGTCAGATATCTTACCTCTAGGCCATCATCGCACAGAAGAAAGGAAGGGAATTTTAACGTTTTTCTCTATATGAAATACACCACCAGCTCAAAGAACTCAAAAACCTCAAATTAACAGCCCCAGAACCAATGGACTCTGGATTTAACTTTAAAAATTTTCAAACTTTATTTAAAGGTATATAGTAACCTAAAAATAAAATACACGTACTTATATACTGTATTTAGATTTATTTAATTATTTAATTTTGTACTGTACTGCATGATTTTGCCACACAAAAATTGTTTCAAATTTGTGGATGACCCTCCCCTCTATTAGTCCGTTAAATTGAGGTTCCACTATATATATAAAATATTATATTTACATGTAACTGAACATAACAAACTCAATTAGAAGTGGCATTCAACTCTCCAATTAAAAATTTTATGCCATTATCCATTACATCAGCCACACATCCAAGCTTACAGCATCAGGTATTTCCAAGCTGTCACCCATCTAGGTACTGACTAGGCTCAACATTGCTTAACTTCAGTGATTGGAGGAGAACTGGTGTTTCAATGCGATATGCCCAAAGTTTTGCATGAATACAATAAGTTTGTCAGGAAAGTATTTTTAATGTTTTGCCAACCAGTTTTGGAACTTGCTATATGTACATTATCATATATAATTCATTCAATAATTCATCGAGCCCAGGATAATCTTCAACAGAATGCAGAAAGCACTGGACAGCTGTTTCATCCTGTTTGGGACTCATCAGAATCGAACCCAGACCATTTCAATACATTGCAAATGTCATACCAACTGTGCCACAGGCCTCGGTGACAAAGAAGACACAAACTAGACTTGATATGGTGCCGCTACTCACTTAGTTCCGCAGCGATACTCATCCAAATATACAGCTAACCTTGGAACAGTTTCCCAAGAGCCGTGTCTGCTTTTTTTTTTTTTTTTATTTATATTATTCAAACTATTACTTCATCTTCATTGCCATATTCACAATGTTTCAGCCATTTTACACTCAGGCTTTCTTCAGGTGATTAGAATTTCGAACTAAACTCTTTATTCCATCCAGCAGGGTAGATTGTTCTAGTTCCACATGCCATGCCTCTTCCAGATGTCCCAGTTATTTCCCTTTAACTCAATCTGTAAGTTTTGGTTCACTACTGCTGTGTCCTGATATTGGACTCACAACTCTTTGGTTCTAGTCACTGGATATAACCAACATCTTTATCCACTGAGCCATGTGTCTGAAATCTGAATATGGCAGTGAAGATGAGGATAACAGTCCGGATAATGTAAATAATGCAAGTAATCATAATACCTCATATATAGACAGATATTGGTTTTGGAACCTTGATCTAACTTAGCAACCAATTAGAAAAGTCCTTATTTCAGAGCATTATGAATGACAGAAATGGCACATGACTAAGTAACAAAATATACATGATTGTTATTACCTTCTTTATATTAACAAATTATAAAGACTACGGTCTTGTTGATTAGCAAGTCAAAATTTGAAATACCTATTTTATTTTTAATCATTTTACCCCAAGGAAGGCAATAAAGCCACTAAAACACAAGTGTTTATTAAGAGTGAAAAACATCTGAAAAAAATGTTGAGTAGAGAGGACAATAAAAGAACAAGAAAACAAATGACAATTGACATTGCATTTAAATTTTTGAAGATTATAGGTGACAGAAATGCAAGCAGCCCAAAGAGAGTTCCAGAAGTGAGAAGTGTGAGGGATGAACTTGTTAGCATAAAACTTATGGTTGCATCCTGCAATTTCAACATTATAATTATGGGATCTAATTTTCACTCTAGTATTGTGTTTTAATTTGTGAAGTCAAGATACCAAAGAGGAAAGCTCATCAGAAAAATTACCATGAAAATATTTATAGAAAAGGCACAGGGAAGCTACATTATACTGATAGACTCTCAGCTTCAGTCACTTTCCTAAGTCAGGACTGATAACATTGCAGATTCTTCTTTGGATTTTATCAAGAACATCTAGATATATAGCAGAGGCATCAAACCAGATGTGGCAACAATACTCACTGCATGGATAAATGGTAGGCTTATAAAGGTATACAATTCCAGCAAGAGAAATTGTCTAGCATGACAAAGTGAACAATTTTCCTAGCAGCAGATCTAATAACTGAGTCAATATAAACATTTCACTTCATGTCAGTGGGAAATGTCAGACCAAGAAGGCATAATTAGTTACTGTCTTGGAAGTTAGCATCAGGCGTGTTGATGGAAGGCAAAAAAAATGCAAATATATGTAAATAATTAAAGAATAAGATCTTTTTAAATATTTATATCGGTGAATAGAGAAATCTCTCTCTGTTTGCTGTATGTTCTACTGATAATTTCCATATTTCTCTTTTAAATTGTGAATATATTTTCTCCTTTTTATACAAATGTTATTTCATAATTTACTTGACTACTGCACACTCTGTGGATGTGTGGGTGGTGTAATGGATAGCATCTCAGAAAGAGAAATTGGAGAGTTCAGTACAAATTCCAATCAAGTTTATTATATTTGCTTATGCACGAAAATAACTTGTCAAAGGTATGAATCCATCTCTTCTTCCCCAGCTATGGGTTAAATAGTAAGACTTGTAGATATAAGAAAAATCATTGTTATTCTCAAAGAAATAAATTGTTCATTCCAATACACAGGCATCCCTTGATTAATATGCATTCGATTAATGCATTTTCGATCAGTGCAATAAGATTTTTATATATCAAAATTCGATTCAGTCAGTTATGTGCAATGCGTGATACACACTTAGGTGATCATGTATCTTTCAATACATGACTGACGAGGCAGATTTTTTCCAGCAATAGGTTGTCAATTCCTTTCTGTGGTAGACCAGTAGCCATCCAAGACTATAAAACTCAGTCTGTCCTGCTATTTACCCATAGCTGGGGGGAGAAGTAAAGGATTCATACCTTTCCCAAAGGTATTAACATATAAGTGAATGTAATGGATTCAATTGGAATTGAGACTTGCTTCCACAATCCAAGCCACTATCCATTATTCCACTGATTCAATTACTGCATACATAATATTCGATTAGTGCAGTAAAACATTCTTCAGTTTAACCATAGTAATTGTAAATTTATTTTTTTTTATACCTACTGATGTACACATTAGCCACACTCGCTTACAGTCCAAAATGTGTTTTGGCTACAGATGACACACAAGGGGTTGATAAGTCATAAAAAACAAATCAATCGTGCACCTTGTATAATAATAATTTCTAATTTGATTTGTATGATGTCCTCCCTGTCCATTTTTTTTTTACAAGGAATAAACAAAAATATTTATTAAAAAAAAAAAAAGTTATAATAGTTCACTGTCACTCCCTATTGAATCGCCTCCAACTGTGCACTTATCCAGTGGGTTGGTTTTTGGCCTGTTCTTGCCTGTTACTTCTCGTCTGACAATGGAAGAGGCAAGATGCCAAGTCATGAAAGTCAATATAAAATGGAAGCAAAAACAATCTTCTTCTGATGGCCAGATATTTTTCCTTTTCCTTCCTCTTCCTGTTGGCATCATCTTTCATCTAACAAATTATGTCAAGATTCTCCAGAATGTCAGCCTTTCTGCTAATGCTGCTGACCAATTTAATAACGCAAACAATCTGCCAGATCAGCTCTCGGATTTAAACCCAATGTTTGGTATTCCTAAGCTTAGCATTTGTCAATCTCTCTCAAATAATTAAATGCATCTTGAGTAGCAAAAACACTTGTTATTAACTTCAGTTAATCATTAATTAGAAACATGAACTGATCTTTTGGTATTGACCTGATATATACCACAGAAAGATTGTCTATGTTTCTTACAGAATCTAGCTGATATTTTATGGATTAAAAAATTAAGTCTTAACTCCAACTTTAGGCTTTTACTGCTCAACATATGGTAGGGGTTGTCAAGACTGAATGGGAGGAGACTATTATTCTAATGTCTCATTTCAAACTTAGTCAAATTGTATGGGTATCTGCTTGCATCACATGCATACGTAAGTCACTAACACACAACACAGGCATATATATTATATACACTACAGTTTGAAAGTTTGAAGCCACCTCCAGAATTAGCATGGGATGAACTTGACAGAAGAGTGAAAAATGAAAAAGAAATCTTAGAGTCATTGAAAAAAGAATAGAATCAATTGTCAAACTTATACTTTGAGAAACTTTTGTAACAAATGCCAAAAATTTGTGCCACAGTAGTCAAGGCTAAAGAAGGGTATTTTGATGAGAGCAAAATTTAATCATAAAATCCTTTTTTTTTTTTTCTTTTTTTTTTTTGTCATAATAAAATTTCTAATAAAAAAAAATGTCTCATTTCTTTTTAACCATGTATAATAATTTTCTCTTATCTAAAGTACAAAACAACTACTTTTAGGGTCAATTTAAAAATTTACCAGGGATTGCCTCAAACTTTTGAACTGTAGTATATGCACATGCATAAAGTTACACATAGACAATGTATAATGGACAGCTCTTTTAATATATATATATATATATATATATATATATATATATATATATATAAATGTATGTATGTATGTAAAAATTTCAGAGTATATCTGTAATATGACAATATGAATAAAGACAAAAAGGAAAACTTATTTTAGTTAATGTGTTTCATCCTCTGAGAGACTTTATCAAGACAAATGCAAGGATTTTTATTTTGTATCAAGTATTTAAACACCAGAGAAAAAGTTATTTATTTTTCAAAATTTTTAAATTTATGAACAATCATAAATATTCATGAAGTTAGCTGAAAAGTCTGGTAAGCTATGGAGGATAAAAGTGACACAATTCAATGTCCAATAAACAAAAGTGAATTTTGCCTTAGAGGAAGAAATAAATCTACTAAGATAAGTTTTCCTCTTGTTTATATATATATATATATATATATGCAGAAATATAGTTTTAAACTGCGCTATATTTATAGGATAAAGTGCTCAATATCAGAAAGTGTATGTAAATATAAAAGTGAACATTGAAGTCAACATTCAGAGGTGACATGGTGTTTTATGCTAGACATAATCGTCAGGCCAATTGCATCTAGCATGAAACAGTCTGTTGTCTCTGAGTGTTGACTTCAATGTTTACACACACACACACACACACACACACATATATATATATATATATATATGTTGTCCAAAAACATCTATGCTGCCTTGTGAGTAATGAATTATTTTACACTCTATAACCCTTTTTGCCAGACCAAACATTGCAAGCCTCTCACTAATCTGTTGCTCTTTCCATGGCAAATATTCAGATGAGCTACATTCTTTTAGTTCCAATAGTTCTAACCATGTACACTGAGAAAAACCAAACTCTTATCTTAGTATGCCATTGTTGAGCAGTTCCACTCCAACAGCTTCTCCCTGCAAGCCACTATGTTGCAGAATCAACTCCCAATAAGATCCTTCCCCAAACCATTACCTATTCAAATTTAGGATTAACCATTACCTTTCCCACATATCCTCATACACCTCTTAGTCTTACTGCTCACATTGCAGACTTCTTCAGTAAC